GTTCAGCTGCATGACTTCTGAGAGCCCAGGGGACAGAAAGTTACTGTATAGAAGAAGGCTGACTTTCAAACACATGTAGAAAATGTATGTGAGTCAAAAATTACCATCTACTGGGTCCTATGTACTGAAATCTGGGGCACTGCTTGTTAGAGCAGTTAGGGTAGAAAAGAGTGGTATCCTTATCGGGCATCCTTTGAAGTTTAAACGTCTGGTGGTTTAACCGGGTGGGTTTAGATTTCCTTAGACGTCCAATTACTTGGCAAGCAGCTCTACTCGAAGTAAAAGGGAAGTCACTTAAGTGTTTGAAGCAAGGGTATAATATGATCCAATTTCTGTTTTCAGAAATATCACTCTGGCAACTGGATGGAAAACTAAAAAGGTCAACGGTGATGGGTAAAAGACCTGGCAGGAGGGGGCAAAGTAGTAGATCTGGTGGTTATGACTGGGGCAATAGCAGAGACAGAAAGCAGTGGCAAGAGCTACCGTGTACGGCTAGAACTGGCAAGATACATGAATAATTTTGGCCATTTCTATGGGCTATTTCTTTAAGCCACGAAAATAGCAAAATGAGGCAGTTTTGAACTCCCAACTGTACTAACACTCCACCATACACCTATTTCAAATAAATACCTTCAAGGACCCTTTCCTTATGTATACAGAATAGCTCCCATATTGGCAAACGAAACAAAAGCATGAATGAACCTTTGGGACTACATCAAAACAAAAAGCTTCTGCTATTTGCACATGACATATCCAATAAAGGATTAATATCCAAAATGTATAAAGAACTTACACAACTCAACACCAAAAAAAATAAATAATCCAATTAAAAATGGGCAGAAGACATGAACAGACATTCCTCCAAAGAAGACATCCAGATGGTCAACAGACACAATATCACTCATCATCAGGGAAATGCAAATCAAAACCACAATGAGATATCATTTCACACCTGTCAGAATGGCTAAAATTAACAACACAAGAAATAACAAGTGTTGGCGAGGATGCGGAGAAAAGGGAACCCGGTGCACCGTTGGTGGGGATGTAATTTTGTACAGCCACTGTGAAAAATATGGAGGTCTCCCCCAAAATTAAAAATGAAAATACCATTTGATACAATAATTACACTACTGGGCATTTACCTCCAAAATTGAGAATACTTATTCACAAAAATACACTCTTACATCTACAGCAACATTATCTACGATAGTCAAGATATGGAAGCCACCTAAGTGTCCACTGATGTAATCTTTCAAAAAGTGAAGGTATCTCCAACCAAACTCAATTAAAAAATAATAAGTAAAAAGAAAAAAGAATTTTTTAAAAATCGCATTTCGGAAAGAAATTGAAGGTATTAGTGTAGAATTTTAGCTACATATAATCCTAATTCTAACCTTCAATTTCCCCCAAATCAGAAACGTGTTTTGAGGTATTTGAGATAAGGCATTACTGTCAGCTCTTAGTGCCATAAAGATTCCCCATGAAGCTTGTCTTTATAAATATTTAACATAAATATTTATAAAATAACATTGTAAATTATAAACTACTAGAAACATCATTATTACCACAAAAAGACAAAAAAAACCTCCTCAATAAAATCCTTAAAAAGATGCTGGTAAAGCACAAAATTTTCAAAGCCAGATTGCGTTTCATTTTTTCAGTTTGAGACTGAATGTTATCAGTATTAAAATGTTATCAGTATTTTCCATGTATGGTAAAAGGTATCTTCCATTCTGGAAAGGATCAGAGTCATTTATTGTTAAAGCAAAGATACCATAATTGTTTATAATCAATATCGCTTCCATGAATATTTGATTCTCTAGATCATGAGATTTCATGAAAATGATCATCCCAGAAAACTTGCAATTCATAATGTCATTTCAAATCAATACGTACAGACCTGCAAAGGGAACGCTGAATAAGTCTTAAATTCAGCACAGGAACAGCATTTGGAATATAATCATCTCTACTACTCATTGTTTTGGTTGCATTTGAAATACTAGATTTTACAATTAAATTCTTATATTGACTCTACTCTAAATATCAGTGATTTAAGAATGATTTTCCTCTAAAGATGCCAGATTTTAAAATACATTTTTAAGAACCTTGGTCTATTAAGCACATCTGTTTCTGACTCTAAAAATTGCTAATCTTTCCATAAGCAGTTCCTGGCCACATATGCATTTGCTTGTAACAGTTTCAGGCATGTAAAACAGTATTACACTCGTATTCAGAACTTTCTATAGATGAAGAGCTACAGTGAAAGTGAAGATCATTTATCACAATTTTTGAGAGGTAGAGTAAGAAAAGAGAATTCCTATGAGGTTCCAAAGGATGCATCATGGCATGATCCCTGATTGTCAATCAACTGTATAAAAACTTTGAATATTTTACACTTATAATTCCTCTACAAGGCCATTTCCAAATGTGCGGTCAAATTCTTCTCGTGTTATAATCTATTACAAAACAGTTAAACAAAGGATACCTAAACATTATGTGTGACAAAGTGTTTTTATTTATTCAGTGTTTAAATATTTTTAAATATTCCACAATATCTCTAAAGTAATTTAAACGTATCTTTTCAAAAAGCCTTTAAGAATATCACCAATTCTTTTTAGGGAGTGGAAAGAGACATTTAAAAAAATAATCTCATATAGATAATTCAAACAATGTGTTTTTCTTTATTTCCGTTTAAATTAGCTCTCCATCATCTAAAGTAAAACTTTTTTTATTCATTGTTACTTTCCTTCAGTGTTCAAACCTGTAGTTGATTGAACCGAAACACGCACTCAGAGTTTAAATAGTTGAACAAGTTTCTCACAACAATCTTGAGGTTTCCCCTGTTCCAACAGCCCTATAATTTTATCTAGTAAAAGGATCACGTATGGACTAATATATTTTTCTGTATAGGTGTGAAAACGTAGAGCCATTTTGCACCCATGCTGCATTTGTTTTATTTTTTCTCATTTATAAAGCTTTGTTAATTTAAAGTAGACATGTTCCCCGCTTAACGTCAAAAATACCATCTTTGACGATAAAACATTAAGCGTTTTAAAATATATGTATCACTTTGTAAACCGACTGAAAACCATGACTTCTCAAACACAGTTGCACAGACATGTGAAATTACTCGAATAAAAAGCATTAGGAAACTAACGTTATCAAGTCTGCACCGTCCACTAGTGGCAAGAGATGGTAAATGCATGTTCCTCGTAAAATTCAATTTAAAACGAATTCTATCTTCAGTATTAGCTTTGTCAATCAAATTTAGAGCCATTAGAAAGGGCAAATACATGTGTACTGTAAACATAACATGATTATTGCGTCGTGAACTATTTTTCCTGCATAACATTCAATTACTGTCAAGTATCATACCTAGAGACACCAGGTTCAGTTAGGTACCTGTGAATATAAATACCATGGATCCATATATAAAGGCATGTGTGTGGACACACGCATACACTGTGTATGTACCTAAAGTCTGAACGAGAAACGAAGTCACTCTGACCACCTCACATGAATCAACAAAGGAGGGGGAAACTTTATGTAGCCTGTTAGCTTTGTTTCACTCACCCTGCACTGCGGCTCTCCCTGAAATTACCTTTGATTAATAAGTGGTTTCTAAGCAGGAAATATTTGCTTAATAGTATGAGGAAAAGCTCTCCCTCCTTTGAAATCTCAGTGGTCCACTGTGTGAACAGAGCTGACCATATCTGAACCTCGTGATGACGCTGCCCCGTGGAAGTCAGAATGCCCGCGTAGGATTCAGAAATCAGGCGTATGCGGCCAGCTGAGGCTCCTCAAGCAATTTTAGCAAACTTAAGTCAATGAGTCTAAACTTTACCACTTGCGGGAAGAAAATCTGAAGCCACATTCATGTGCGATTTCATAAACAAAGAGAAACACTGCTTACCACTTTTTTTTTTTTAACAACTGATAGAACAGCACTTTTGATCAAGGCACAATTACATAATTGATTTAGATAGCTTCTTCAGACAGCTGTTCAGCATGTATATGGTTTGCATGTGTGTGTGTATACATAATATCTGATGTTTAATACGTATTATTAATATACATATAAATACACACACACACACACACACAACTAAATGTTTACTCACTTGAAGAATTTGGCTTGCCATTATTTTGTCAGTATTTTTCTTTTCTTTGCTCATTATTCTGTCCCACTTACTTACCTGGAACGATTCTTTAGTACACAGAAGATGTACAATTAATATTGTTTATACCATAAATATTAATAAATCATTGAAATGGGAATTTTATTGATGAAAAAGCAAAGGCAAAGTATAAAGGCAAGTAGGCTGATTCTGAATTACTATCAAGTCAATATGAAAAGAACCTAAATGCACTTGAGATGAATGGATATCTTCAAAGTGCTTCATAAAAGAACAAGATAACATTGTTTATTGTAAGTGCCATGATATAATGGCTTCTTTAGCAGCGTCCCCTCACAAGTTCCTGGAATGGATAATTAATGCTGTCAGGCTGATCACTGAAAATATGTGTTATTTAGAACAAGATTTCTTTTTTCTTTTTGTTCAAAGTTTTGTTTAAATTCTAGCTAGTTAACATAGAGGGTAATCTTGGTTTCAGGAGTCATATTTAGTGATTCATTACTTACACATACTACCCCATGCTCATCACCAGTGCCCTCCTTCACGCCCATCCCCCATCTAGCCCATCCCCCACGCACCTCCCTCCATCAGCCCTCAGTTTCCCCCACCATTAAGAGTCTCTTAGGCTTGGCTTCCCCCTGTCTCTATTTTCTTTCCCATATGTTCATCTGTTTAGAACAAGATTTCTTATGGGCTGAGTTTGACCGAGTTCACATGAGCATGTAAGTTCAAATACCCCTCTTACGGAGGAAATTCAATTTTTAAACCTTTCCTCTTTGTGGAGGTTTCTGCCCACTGGCTTACACATCTAAACAGAGAAAACTGGCAGTTTCATTTCTTTCTCAACACTGTTCGTCTCCATACCTCTTTCAGATTTTTTGGCTCTGAGTCTTTCAGTTCTTCATATTTCCATTTCCATACAGACAAAGCTGACTCCAGTCGTTCTATTTCTTTTTCCAAAGATGAGCGCTTTCTAAATAAAGAATTAAAAGCAAAACAGGCTTACAATTTAAAGACAAGTTTAGGAACACATTCAGTGTTTTTATTTCCTGTTTTCATTATTTTTATATTTGTATACGACCATTGTAATCACAGGAAAAGTTTTCCAGCTTATTAACAATTACAAACATTGAATAAAACTTGGTTTAATTTTTTATTCTGTCACTTAGCATTAGAGTAGGTTAAACATATTTAATTTGGCTTTGCCTGTATCAAAATATTTAACTTTCTGCCTGCTTTCTCCTATATTATTCATGCATTTGTCTCATTATCTCATTCATATTGTTTCTCCTTGTATAGGAGGATATATATATATTTCTAATTTTAACGTGGCTTCTATCCAGCTTCATATTGTGACTATACATGAATGAAGAATCCTTTGATATGACAGAGAATGACAAGGAGTCTACATAATAATTTAAGAAATCAATTATTTACTGGGGCTATAAAAATACTTTTTAAATATTTGCAATTTTGTTTAATGAAGCAATTTCACTGGGATCTTTATTTAAAATAATTGACATTAATTTCTCCATTTGTAGAACAAGTGACTCAGTTAGAATTGAAATCTGGTCCTTTAATATCTCAATTATCGATTTTTTGTATGCCCATATGTCTATCAGAGTGAGTCACTGAAAATAATTGTTTACTACGGGTCGTAATTAGCATATATTGACCTTTGCAGATGGACAATCCTCATTTGTGTGGTGCATTAGATTAGTGCTTAATAATGTTCAATCTCTTTTCTCTACTCCCATGGACAGAATTGCTTTCCTCAACCCTTGCTTCTAGTCTTTGACAATGGGACATTAGCAGATATGACAGACGCAGATGTTTGAAAAGAATTTGTGTGGTTGGGCTTCTTCTCTTACGCTTCAGCCATCACTGTGAAAAGAGTTTTCCCTTGGGAATTGCTGTCTCCAAATAAAAACATAAAGCAGATCTGAGCCCAGCCTTACCACTGAGCCAAGCCCTGCTGGTCAAGTGGAGGTCAGCTGACCCCACCTTTTTCGTACCCATATGGGCAAAAAGAATAGTTGTTTTACGACACTGAAGAGTGAGTGAGTGTGTGTGTGTGTGTGTGTGTGTGTGTGTGTGTGTGTGTGAGTGTGTTTTGTTTTGTTTGTTTTTTCTGCAGCAAAAGATAACTGACATAGAAAATGAGACTTAAGGGGGGGGGGATGCTACAGTAGCAAAAATGAAAAATATGTAGGCTTAACTTCAGGACTAGATTGTGGGCAGAGGCTGGAAAAATGGTGATAAAACATAAGCAGCTGGAAAAATAGTGATATGTGTTATTTAGTAGTGAAAACACATGATGAAATCATCACTTGCAGTGTTTTGGAAAATGGAAAATGTGAATGATATCACCAGTGGAATGCTAGTGGGCACCATGTGGCCGAGCCTTCAAACGTGTTTATACAATTTATACAATAAGAGGTTTTACCCTCTTATATTTTGGCTACAGCAATAAGTACATACCAATGCAGACTTACTACTCCCAGTGGGGGTAGGAGAGATATGGATCATAACCAGTCTCCCCTGCTCCCCTGCAGAGTCCAGTCAATATCAGTCAGCCGTTAGTTGGCTCACAGACTCCAGCTAAATAAAGTCTGAATGTTGTATACCACTGAGATTTTGTGGCTGTTACAACCTTATCGTAATTTTAATTAACCAATGCACACACTCGGGTCTAGTTCCATGATAATGTCACTAGAAGGATCTTAGAACATATTCACAGATCTAAAAGATGCACCCAGAATCAAAATTGAATGCCATTTACATAATTATGAGAAATATTAATCTTCCAGGAAGCAACACTATGAAAATAATTCAAAATAGAATTAGGTCATAAATAGTTTAATCCAATGAATGGATAGGCAGCTCATTAAAAAGTTATCTAACTATATTTGCATGAACCAAGCCATGGAATTGAAGAGAATGTCTCAGAATTAGAGTTTAACCTCAGAAGACTCAGGTTGCAAAAACATCCTCACGGTTAATAAGACTATAATTTTAAATCTCTTATTAACAGCAAATATATAAAATTAACCAACAAAAGGACTCAATATAAAAGTCTAGGTCCTATGAACACTGCCTATGAATGTCTACAGATCCAGATTAACAACCTCAGCCCAAAATCCTGATAGAAAAGCAGACCCAGCCAGCTAAGGACACCCAAGTTATTTATCAAAATATTATATTCTCAAAATTTTTCAGTAGAATAATATAAAAATTTACTTGAAAATTTAACAAAAGTCTACATTTTAAATTTTATGAATTCAAAATCATACATGTTCAGATCACTGTCAGTTTTTAACATTACACTTTAATAAATCAAATGCTAACATGAGCAGAAAAAGCTCACATTAACACAAAAATGATTCATTATTACTACTGAATAAATGTTGATCTTCAAAAATGCCACCAAAAATATTGGGGTAAATATTCCTTTAAGGTTTTTATAAGAGGTTCAAAAAGAGCATTTCAAACTACATATTAATTAAACATTTCATCTTAGTTACAGTGAAACATAGATGCATTCTAAAGATATAATCATATCTAGATTACATCTAGACTTATAACAAGTAGTCAAAGCCAGTTCATGAAATAAAAATAATATAATTTTCCCAAGTATATTAAAATGAAAATTCCTATTACCTTATTTAAGACAAATTAGTAACATTTAAAATGTAGTATTATTTATCTCTTTAAGTATGCATCTTACATATAGTAATTTATATTTATGGCTTACTGAAATAAAATTATGCATTTTTATTATGTAAAATGGTACCATTTAGTCAGGGAAGGCAGCAGACTGGCAATTCATAGAAACTTACTTAATGATAATGTGATACTTGGATATTTTTAATATGCATTCATCAAAAAATATTTTGTGACTCAATGCAAGCAAAGCTGAAGGACATATGGACATTGTACACTTAAATTTATGCAGCAGAGGGCACCCTTTAAATTCTTAATTTCTGGCCTAATCAATTTATTCTATATTTTAGAGAGATTTTCAAAATTGATTAATTATACAGTTAAATTTCTAATTGAAATTTAAACTATCAGCATGCCATTTGAACTACAGGAAGGCAAAGAAAAATCCTAATTTACTCTAAAAGATACTGCATATTTTATGCACAAATTCTTCTAAAAATAATAAGATAAAGCTCAGCAAAAATGTAGTATCTTATATACGATGATATAAACTTTTAAAAATCTAACTGCTAAAATACATAAAAGTTGCAGAACTAAAAGATATTGAGTGAACCAAGAAGATTTTTATGGAAAGATATGATATTTCTATGCAATATTTTCATATTTTGTTAACTATCACAATCCCATAATAATTGGGCATACAACTTGAACATATATATAGAAAACAAGATTAACCAAAATATTTTTCAAGGATGAAAATTCCTGAAACATTAATATTTGGGAATAAATATTAATCATTTTTGAACTGTGTGAAATTTCACTGTAAAATATGTGGTAAGTATTTTCCTAAAGATCTATTAATGTGAAATGTTTTGGCCAGGCAAAAATAATTAACCTGTAATAACATCTAGAAACCAGTTTTTCTATTAATCCAAAATGTAGAGTTAGTATCCACTATAAATAATTTTAAAATGTTTTAAAATATGCTTTTAATCAGCAACATATTTTCCATTTTGTGATTCTACTCCCAAGTATTTATAATTATATCCTGGAACATTTTTAGCACCTTTTAGCAAATATCCATATATAATTTAAGTAGAAAAGAAATGAATTAAAAAAATTTTTTTTAATGTTTATTCATTTTTGAGAGACAGAGCACGAACAGGGGAAGGGCAGCGAGAGAGAGAGACACACACAGAATCCAAAACAGGCTCCAGGCTCCAAGCTGTCAGCACAGAGCCCGACGCGGGGCTCGAACCCACAAACTGGGAGATCATGACCTGAGCCAAAGTTGGACACTCAACCGACTGAGCCACCCAGGTGCCTCAGGAAAGAAATGAATTTAAAAAATACTGTAGGGGCACCTCAGTGGCTCCATCCGTTAAGTGTCTGATGAAGATGAAGCCACAGCAATCTTCCCATCAGCATGTCATTGAGGCCACCAGTTAGGCACAGACAACCAGCATGACCTCAATACCATCAACTCCAGATGTGGGACAGTTTCACCAGAGAGCAGAGACCACTGCTGCCTCTGGGATCAAGACATAGTTACTGCCGCAGCCTCCTCCCTCATCAGGATGGATTCCGGGCACTTGTTTCTTGGAGCATTAGCTTCTGCTAAAAAGTCTAGGTGGCTACATCTGAAAAGCTGTTCCTATGTCAAGTGTCTGCCTTAATGACAAGGGAGACTCAAGCTGAGACTTACTAGCAATGTTGCAGTCTCTGCAGAGAAGTAGACTCAATTTCCTTCAGCAAGGAAATACCCAAACACAAAAGGTACTATAGAGTAAAAAACAAACAAACAAACAAAAAACAGTTGCAAAAGTAGAGAAAAATTAACTTGAAATGGATTAAATGTAAGACTGAAAATGTTAAACTCCTAGAAGAAAGCATAAGGAAAAAACTCCTGGATAATGGTATTGGCAACAAGTTTTTGGATTTGACACCAAATGCATATAAAACAAAAGCAAAAATAAGTGGCAGTATATCAAGCTAAAAAGCTTCTGCACAGAAAAAGAAACAATCAACAAAATTAAAAGGCAACCTATGGAATGGAGGAAATATTTGGGAACCATATATTTGACCATGGGTTAATATCCAAAATACACAAGGAACTCAAACAACTCAACAGCAAAAAACAACCAACCAAACAACAAAAACCAAACCAAAGCAAACCAAACAATTAAAAAATGGGCAAAGGACCTGAGTAGACAGTTTTCCAAAGAAGACATACAAATGGCCAAGCATCTGTACAGGTGCTTAAATCAGTAATCATTAGTGAAAAGCAAACCATAATGTCAGTGAGATAAC